ATTATCTTTATGTAAATTATGACTTTGCTAGTAATGCAAGAAAAATGTTACACATTGTACTAAATATAATATTTTATACTGATGAGACACAAATTTTTTGTTTAAGGATGAACTTTAATAATGTCCAAACTCTGTCACCAATTCACATAAACCATCACCTGCAATATAAAAGAAACAGTCAATGAAAGACAGAGATTAATATTTAAATTATTGAATGGATTAATTACTCAATAAAATTGAACATTTCACAACCTTTTATATTTTGACATTCCAAATTTAATTTAAAAGCGATATTACAATATATTAAAATAAACTTATCAAAACATAGTTTATAGCTCAAATTTTTATATCATCTAAGTTCTAATTTCTTAAATTTAAAAGGAAATATAAAAAAAAAAATTCTCAGTCTTCACTTGTCTGTGTCACATGAAGCATCTGAGCTCTGAATTTTTCTCTAGATTTTATAACTGTAAGAATACAGCTTCTTTAGCACCTAATTAGAAACACAAACTATACATAATTATCATTAAGAATATAAAATCTGAACCTCCTACCTTCTTGATTTTCTTAGTTATCATTAAATTTGTCAAACCCACCAGAAAAGCCTCTCCTATTGTTCTATGTATTTCAAGACAATAATATTGTCAAATGTACAATGATGATGGACATGTTTATAACCAACAGAAAAATCAGATTCTCCTCTACGTAAAGCTAATGGTCCTTTGTTTATTTTTGATGATGAAGGAAGGAAATTGAGAAGCGCTTGACTTGTATTGAGCAAAGCCATTGTTCTGAGAATTAATGGAACTTTTAAACCTATTTATAGATTAGTTAGAATGCCACTTAGATTAAGGTAGTTTTGGAACATTCTATCATAGTGACTCGTATATTTTAGTGTTCTAAGATGCATATTTGAAATTCAATTTTTTTTTCACAACAAACTTAAATAAAAAAAAGCCTAACAGAGCTAGCTATGTGTGATGTACGAGAAACTGCTAATGTGTTTCCTATGTGTTTCACTGCTTTTTTGAAGATGGGTAAAATGCTCCTGTATTAGAAACCAAGCAATAAAATCATAAAATTAAAATAAAACAAAAAGTTGAAATTGTGAAAATAAGTAATTTGAAAATCTTGAATCAATTATGCATTTAAAGAAGAAGATAAAAAGGTATTGTTCATTTTATTTCATATTTTTAACATTATATTTCATTGATGACTTTGCTACAATTGTGTTAGAATACACAAAACAGATAAAATAAACCTTTTGTTATAAATTTAGAAGGTTCTATAGACTATGCAAATGAAATATGGAAACTACCAGATGAAAATAAGTATTTTGAATCTTAACATGAAAATAATTTTTCACTCAGACTGACTCCGTAAAGAATTTTTAAATTCACAGAAATCTTTAGTATAAATATCTTATTAAAATATTTGATATTTAGTGTACAACAGTTTTGTAGTTATTATTAAAAGCTTTTCAAATTTAATAAAGATATACACAGTAGATTCTTAGTTATAGTGTGTATAGTTTAATGGTTACAGGGTGGTTCCTAGATGGGTCACATCAACCATCTTCATACAGGACGAGTTAGTCAGCAAGTTCTCTCATTAGAACTTCATCATTTTGTGCTTATAATTCATACATCTCCATAATGATGAAATACTAAAAGCAATTTTGCAATGTGAATTAGTGTATATGTATAACACATTTAAAGAAACGAGATTCTGCCATTTGTATAAAGTATAGCCATTTCTGTAAAGTTCTGTAGCTCATTGGTTTAAGGGTTGGGTACTTTTAATAGATGTTCACAAATATATGTTAGCCACCTTTTATAAATGTACAATAAAGTTTTTCACAATTAGGCGTAGCATGGGTCAAAATAAAATATGTTGTTTTACCATGGAAATGGTTGACCTTTTATCAGATTGGCATTAATCTCTATTCAATAAGAAAGGATTTGAGTCAGTGGAATATTTTGCCAACACCTACTGTACTAACAAAACTTAGCTATACTTAAAAAGTTCTGGTATTTCTAATGTACTACCTGGTCTGCAATGTCATTCAATCACAGACCATTAGTTGTTTAACATACACTTCTAAGTTTTAATACACATTAAATGTAAAATTGGAGTATCTGTAAGAAAAATTCTATAAAACACCATTATTTTATACTTCACAACGGATCTAATAAATATATTTGTATTTTGCTATGGGACTTTTATAACTATAGGTTTTGACTTTTAACCGTATAAGAAGATTTATACATAGGCAAATTACCTGTGCTAGGCTGAGTGCAGCCAACCCTGTTGGGAATGCTGTACCTGTTGGATTGGGTTGACCGGCTGACTGGGACTGGGCAGCAAGAACAGCTGCTAAGCCTGGTCCAGTTACAACTGAACTGGCTGCTCCAGTTACTGATGTGTGAGATTGGGCAGCAATCAGAGAATTTGCAAGTGCTGATGTTTGAGATGGTGTAGCTGACTGAGGTAAACTGACTCCTGGAGTCACTGAAAAAAACAACAACATTAATATCTAATAACATGAGATTAAGTAATACTATAATAAAGTTACATTTTTATTGTATGTACAAGTATTTTCTGAAACAAGTCAAACTTTAAAGAAAAATAAATTATAATAGAATAAAAAATAGTAGTACATACCTGCCTAAAACACTAAAATAGTTTATTTTCTTCTAAATAAGTAAAAGTAACTGAATTAAAGCAAAACAAAAAACTGTGTGCCCTAACAACATGCACTTTGATTGTAATGACTTAGTTTATCTAATCTTCAAACCCCATCTTTATAATAAAAGTTTAAAATAATATCAGTTCTATTATTGTAGTAAATGTTAGAATTATACTACAGTTGACTAATAAAATGTTTACATGACAGTTTAATCCATGTCTTGACAGTGACAAAATAAAAGTAACTATCCAATAAACATAACTAAGAAAACTCTAATGCCTGTGATGTATATCTTGAAATGTAACACAGATACATACACACACACAAACTTGTAGGTCATATATACATAAACCTGGTTAAAAATTATATCTGCATCTACACTTCAAATAGTTTTCTTTTAGGACACATACCGAAAAAATCATAGTTCACTTAGCAGTTTTTTCTTCTAAAACTACCTTATTACCTTATTCAGACAGGTAGTTTATACATGTAATTTCAAATTTAAAATATCTTCAGACCTTGATGTTAGTGAATGTATGCCTTAGAAAACCACAAACTAACATAAGTTATCATTTGAAGAGTAGACTTTTGTGAATGAGATCTTCTCTTTTGTATCACACACACACACAAATACATTACCATTTAAATAGACTCTGCTATAAAATTATGTAATTTATTAAGGCATTAAAGAAAAATATTTGATTGACCTACTTATACCGAAATATCCATTTCCACAAACAGTGCTTTTAATATCTAGTCTAGTATAAACTACATACTCCAACCATCTGCAAATTGATAATTTCATATAAATTCACATATCTCACACTAAAACTAAATTACAATTTTCTCTACAGTTGAAAATTGCATACAAGTATTTTTCTGTTTATCATAAAGTTTACAAAAAGTTGGCCTAGTTCAAGGACAACTCTTCCACTGAAATGTTGAAGTGTTTAACAATAACACTATTTCTCATAAAAATGTTCCATTGCCTTGATAGAGCATAGAAGAGAATTGAAATTAAACCTATTGACGCAGTATTGTTGCATTTCACAAATGGTTTAACAAAAGAGGGTAAAATAAATATGTAATTAAACAGTGTTACTGAAGCCTAATATATGTATATTCACTAGATGTGATTTGCTTTCACTTGAGTAATCTTAGTTAAAGCTTAAATGTTATTTTTTTAGATCAGAATATTAAAAGTAAGATCTTTTACAGAAATTTATTAAAATCTAAATATTTTATAGTTACACTTATGAAAGATAATAGAAAACTGGTAGTTTTGGTTTCAAGGATTTTAAAATCACAACCATAATGTTTCTTAAGATTAAACTATGTTTCTCATCACAACAACTAAAAACCAAATTTTAACATTTTTATCAATTACACATGATGAATGTTAGGATACCCGGCAACCTGAATAAAATATTGTCTCCTTTAACATGGGCTTGGTCCCTGGGACCGACCTCGTAACCATTTTGAGCTTGCTGCAGTTTTCATGCTATAACTTTTAAATTAGTTAGCAAATGTTAACAAAATTTGGCAGATTATCAGTAAACATTACAATGCTTGCATACACAAAATATAAATTTTTTTTTATTAAGCCTTAAGATTTGTAAAGCAATGTTTTTCTCATGTCTTTTTCTTTATTTTTGCATTTTGCCTATATATCATGCAAAGTAATATTCATTTTAAGATTAAAAATACTTTTATGCATCAGAAAATTTTCAAATTTCTCAAGCGAAATCTTTATAAAATCCAAAGAGTTATCAAATAT